GGGGCAGGACAGGGCAGCTCACCAGGATGCGGTGAAGCAGAGGCACCCCTGTGTGGGGCGGGGAAGTTCATTGGGCTGGCATGTGGTGATGGCGGCCACCATGTGTGAGCTTCCCCACTCTGCAGGAGGTGCCACTGCCCTTCCACCCGCCCCAGCCCTACTCCTGGGAGGTGGCGGCTCTCTGTCCCTGCCCGCTCACGCATACTCCCTAGGACTGGTCCATGTACCTCCGGTTGACAATCCCTGCCTTAAAATACTGAGGGACTAGAACAGGATCAATCATCTTAATTTGGAAGTACTTACAGAGAAAATTCGGTAAAGTGGGACAGTATGTAATATTGTTTACAGCATTTTTATATATTTAACATGATAAACTTTAACCAAGGTCTTTAAAGAACACTGAACACTGTAAGAAAGTGTTCTAGTCTCTAATAAACCGAGTAGCACATACAGTCAAACACCTTTAACCAGCTTTCACTTCTGAATTTTGTCTTACTCGAACACAACAGGGTACTGCACTATGAAATACCGAACCTTAAAAAGAACTGCAATCCAAGTACCAAAACAAATCTAAAGCAACCTAAAAACTATAAAACAAGGTCATTTTTCATAGTTGGGCGAGTCAAATAAAGAGTTCTTAAGATACATTGCTTACTTTCTGTTGTTGATGTTGTTATAATTATTTGATAGAGATGGAGAGATCTTTGGTAAAGTTGAAAAATTGGATGCACCTGGGGACCTTTAAAAATATGAAAATGTTAAATTAGATAAAAATGTTGAGATTAAAATTAATCATGAAAAAGAAAAGGCTAACAGATGAACAATGCATGTAAATAAGCATGAAAAAGTTCTTATGAGCAGAGCACCAAAAGTCCATGAAAAAGCTTTCTAGCCTCAAAACGCATCTTTTAAAAATTAAAATGGATTTCATAATTCAAACTTTCATATCACACTGGATATCAGTTCTCACTTAAATCAGCTAAAAAGCTGACAAAAAGAAAAGTCAAAATATTTCTTTTGTCTGCACTGACAGCATGGATGCATTTCGCATCTCAAAGTTACAAAAAAGCCTAGAGGCTTTCCTAATTTTTAATTAATCTTATGTAACTTTTGAAATGAGATATGAAAGTGTCAGCTGTGACTAAAGTATAATATTCCAAGGTGAGTGTACATTCAGTCATTTAAAAGCAGCATTTAAAACTAACTGTTTTAACAAACTGGCTGTTTTAAAAAGCTAATGAACATTAACATAATGCACCAAAAATTTCTGGAGATACAAAGGTTATCTTTAATATGCGTTTAGCCAGGTGTAAGTCTATTACTATATCCAGTTACTTAATTCTAAAAAGTTGGATATGTTTATCATTTTCAACACTAGATAATTCTTTGAATTGTAATGACTGAATGAAATACAGCATGATCTTGCAGTTTGCTGTTTTCCTTTACTTGCAATTGACTGAACACATGGGCCTCACCCAGACCCACACAAATCCATGGAAAAAAAATTGGAAGACTTAAATGGACTTTTGGAATTAGGCTCATTCAGATCATTTAAAAAATACAGCGTGCAAGTCAGGCAGTAAGCATTATTACATATGATTTTACGTTTTCCAAAAAAATAAAAAAATAAAAAAAATAAGGTGAGACATGCATCCTGTTTGAAGAATTTTCAAAGTCAGATTTGTACACTACTTGCATAAAACACTGCCACTGGGAAAATGCTCAATTATGAAAATAATTTTGGTCTACTATAATTATGCCACTTTTCCATATTATATTCTAACAGCCGTCGCCTCCATAGGCAATACTGTCAACAAAAACAGGAACATAAACACATTCCAGCACAGGAAAGTTATGAAGTATTATGAAATAATTTTCTCATTGACAATTTAAACTTGAGTTAAACTGAAACTGAAATTAAAGACCATGGAGTCTTTAAATTAAAACACAAAGCAAGCTGAATATATTATAATTGATAATAATATTATGACCGAATTCAAATATTTCGTTATGAATAAAAGTAGTAAGGTAGTCTACCAAATACCATAAAAATTTCAAAGTCAGATTTATTTAGGTTTTTTCCCCAGTGAAAAAATAAAAGCACCAGTTAATTTTGATTCGACAAAGTTAAAACCCTCAGCTGGTGAAAGAGCTATTTTCTAAAATCTTTAAGTAAAAACACAGCATTTCTTAAAGAAATATAAACAGCTTACTAAGATGTTACAAGTCACCCCTGCCAAAATATTTTTAGAACTGTTTGCATGTACTGACACTGATAACACTGGGTATCAAGAAAAAGCCAGTCAATGCTGTGTGTCAAACGCAACTACTCTCTCACACGTGGTAAAATCACTTATGAAAAGTTTTTTAAGCTTCCAAAAATATTTTTAAGACATCCAAACAACAGACAATAAAAAAGTTTCAAAACACAAGCTGATAAGATTCAAAGGTTGGTTCTTATTTTTAATTTTTGCCTTCCTTTTTCCTTTTAAATGGTAGTACTCTAGCAATGGCTAACTAAGCAAGATACAGAGAAAATGTCAACTATTTTCTGTCAAAATATAAATGACAATTTCAATCCTCTGTCTTAAGCACAAATAGGTTCAAATACATGAATGCATCTTCCTGCAATGTAATATGAATGCATGCAATAGGAAATAACAGTTTTACTGTTACTGGTGGTATTTTAAAAATATTTAATTGAAAAGTTGTGACCAAAGAATATACCGATCAGCCAAACACCGACAGATAAAAATTAGGAAGAGGACAAGACAATTTTTTGTTTTAAAGCAGGATATCCTTAACTTACTACAGTAACACCCATTTTTCCTATGAACAACATAGCCATTTCCCTGAAGGGAAATGAAAACTAGTTAAATAAGTTTATCATTAAAAAAATAAATCTTTTCTTTAAACACAAGGGATGAACACTTTATTCTTTACTCAATATTGAAATGTTACGCCTATTATACTATGAAATATTTGCAAAATATATTAAGATGATGTACACAAATATAAAATGGGTGGCATATCCCTCTACAGCTATCAACAGTAGATAGACATAAATCCTAAAGGATTTAGTTTACACTTCAGAAAATAAATGGTATTATTTTCTATAATAAAAGGAAGCCTTGTTTTCATCATTCCACATTTAATGTGTAACATCTTTGTGCCTTGTTTGCCATTTTATGATGAGATAAATTGATTGTAACATGCCACATGGCTAACTTAGTGGGATAAACGTAATATCTGCCAGGGCCTTTTGATACCAATTGCAAAGAATAATCTACAGGATTTTACTGCTTAATCAAAATTATGTTCAATACATTACTGAGCCTTTAACTGACCAAATAATACTCAGTGTCATATGACTATTCACGCTGTTAACTGGCATCCTTAAATTCTCAAGTTTTCCACTTCACTAAATTTGTCACAAGTGATTTGACTCTCCCTTAAAAGAAATGAATTTAATATTATTCAAGGAATTTTTCTGAAACCTACAATTCCTATGTTAGATATCATTTAAAAAGATGATCCAAGTATCAATTTATAGCTTCCTGAGATATTTGGCCATCTAAGTGAATTCCTATTTCACAGTGCTCGAGTCCCACCTTCCTTCTAGTAAAAAAAAAAAAAAAGGCTGTCAAAAATACAGCAAGGAGCAGGACTTACCAACCTTAACAGATGTTGCAGTATGGGGAACAAACAAGAGGAACTTGCCCTCCTGCTAGCTAACACAAACCCAGACGTCGCAGGGCTCACTGAAACTTGGTAGGATTCAATGCATGATTGGGCGGTAAACAGCAAGGGCTACACTGTTCAGGCAGGATAGAACGGGGAAGAAAGACGGGGGTGTGGCGCTCTACGTCAAAGAGCAATACATGTCCTCAACAAACAGCACTGGGTCTGAGGAGTGGCAGAGTGAAACGCTCTCGGTTAGAGTACAAAGGGGTTTGGAGGAAAGGTACTTAACGGTGGGTGTCTACTACACACCACCCAACCAAGGGGAAGAGCTGGATCATGAATTCTCAGGTGAGCTCACCGAGGCAGTTAAATCAAGGGGTGTGGTCATCATGGGTGACCTAAACTACCCGGACATCTGCTGGGAGGAGCAGTCAGCCAGGTTAAGCCACTCATGTAGGTTCCTAGCCAAGATACAGGACCTCCATCTAACCCAGGAGGTGCACAGTCCCACCAGGGGAAATGCCTTGCTGGACCTGGTCCTGGCCACAGGCGACAACCTGGTGAAGGGACTGCGGGTTCTCAACCACCTGAGCGATAGCGATCACTTACTAGAATTCACTATCCAGCGCAAGGTGTCAAAGGCCTGCAGCAAGGCAGTAGCCCTGGACTTCAGGAGGGCGGATTTCAATGAGTTAAGGAGATTAGTCGGCGAGGCACTGAGGTCCTAGGGGGGAGGGGAGTTGGGAGTCCAAGAAGAGTGGTCGTTCCTTAAGGAGACGATCCTCCAAGCCCAAAGGGTGACAGTCCCAACGCAAATCAAAGGGGGCAAGAGTGCTCAAAAGCCCCCATGGCTCACCAAAGGCATTCAGGAACATGTGAAAGCTAGAAAGGAGGCATACACCCAATGGAAGGGAGGGGCCATCACCAAGGAGGATTATACCTCCACTGCTAGAGACTGTAGGGGGACTGATAGGAAGGCTAAGGTGGGGACAGAACTGGGACTAGTGACCTGGATCAAAGATAACAAGTCCTTTTTTAAATATATAGGGAAGGCACCTGGTAACATGGGTCCCCTGCAGGACACGCCTGGAGATCTGGTGGTCGCACCAGATGATAAAGCTGACCTCTTTAACAAATTCTTTGCCTCTATATTTTTCTGAACAGGGACCGGGACATCCCCCCACATCGGGATTCCGGACGGATCCAAGAGAGGCACAGCCAGGCCCAGGGTCTGTAAGGACCTAGTCAGGGAACTTCTGGTGGGACTGGATGTGTTCAACTCAGCAGGTCCAGATGATCTCCACTCCTGGCTGATGAGGGAATCTGCAGAGGTCACTGCAGGACCCCTGGCAGAGCTTTACAAGTGCTCGGCAGAGCACTTGTGGTGCCCTGCCGAGGTGCCAGAGGACTGGAAAAGGGCCAAAGTGGTCCCCATTTTCAAAAAAGGGAGGAAGGAGGACCCAGGAAACTATAGGCCCGTTAGTCTTGCCTCAGCCCCGGGAAAGCTCTTTGAGAAAATTATCCAGGAGCACATCTGCGAGGGACCAGCAGGGGAGATTATGCTTAGGGGCAACCAACGTGGGTTCATTAGAGGCAGGTCCCGTCAGACCAACCTGGTTGCCTTCTATGACCAGGTCACAAAATCCTTGGACGCAGGTGTTGTGGTGGACGTAGTCTTTCTGGACTTTAGGAAGGCCTTCGACACTGTCTCTCACTCCATTCTCAGTAAAACATTAGGCAACTGTAGCATCGATGCCTACACAGTCAGATGGGTCACAAATTGGCTGGAGGGCCGCACCCAGAGAGTGGTGGTGGACAGGTCATTTTCGACCTAGAGAGACGTGGGCAGTGGGGTTCCCTGGGGCTCAGTCCTCAGGCCTACACTGTTCAACATCTTCATCAGTGACTTGGACGAGGGGGTGAAAAGCACCTTGTTCAAATTCGCAGACAACACTAAGATGTGGGGAGAAGTGGGCATGCTAGGAGGGAGGGACAGGCTACAAGTAGATCTGGACAGGTTACACAGGTGGGCGGATGAGACTAGGATGGGTTTCA